TCGTACTAATCCACAGTTCGTACTAATCCACAGTTCGTACTAATCCACCCCCCCCTGTAGCCCAGCGCTGTGGCCCCCCAATGCGTTCCCATGATGCAGTTGGCACTAGTTTGGATCAGAAGGGCGGTAGGCTTCCACAGACAACACACAGCACAAGGGGGGGGGGGGGGGGGGGGGGGGGGGGGGTGTGGGAGCTGAATGGAACCCCTTCCCGGAGTTTTTGATATGTTGCAGTAATTTGAAACGATTTTGCCTTTAGTGGAAAACCTTTGATCTTCTTAACAAAATGAGGGATATTTTAGGGTGGTGGTGCTGCTGAAGGCCTGTGACGTCACCAATAATGGCCGCCATTTTGGTTTTTACCAAGAATTAGAAAACAGGTTAAAACCGCAAGAAATGTTATCTTTTTGTGCTTTATTATATGACCATAAATAAGCACTCTGCATGATTTTAGCCGTACGACGACAGAAAGGTACGATTTTGTTCGCTTTTCTAAGGTGACAACTAAGTCTTTGGCCTCGGGAACAGGCTCATAGGAGACAAATGAATTAGGCGAGAGCAAAATTGTTGATGAACTTTGACCCAGACCAAGACTGCGGACCGTGTGACTATAAATCTGGGAACTTGAATAAGACGAGTTTTCCGAGTTATTCGATGATCTTTGGCTTGTGTTAAAGGTCAGAAGATTATGCGTGTTTGTGGATAGTCTTACCAGGGCCGCGAACTCACAGTGTGTGATTGAGATTTCCGCATAGTGTTGAGAGGTATGTGGTCGCGTGGTTGAGCTGTTTCGCTAAAATATTCTGTGCCAGCCATTAAAACGTTTCTTTTAATTTAGGTTAGCTGATTGTACCCTGGTAAAGCAACTCTCTACTCAGGAAAATTGGATCTAGGTCTAATTTCAAATTTTCTTTCAGTCCTAATCAAAACCTAATAACTTGGCCGGGTTGACTTTTCTTCCGGAACGAGTAGTAGTTCCAGGAACGGGAACTGGAATGGAAGACTTTTGAGCAGACCGTAAAGCATCTTTCTTCTCTGCCGGAACTAGCTTGCGAAAACATCCGTTTCTCCTCGCTCTTCGCCGCTGGGGACGTTTCGCGGGGAGGAACGTCTGCGACTCAGCGACAGAAATTCCATACTGATGACGCAAATCAATGGTTACATAATAAATCCGATAGTCATTGAGTTTCCAAATATAAATTTGTCTATTTTTACGTGTCTTCTGATCGATTTTGGTAAAGTGTTGTGCTCGTCTGCCAACGAGCTCCAACAAAACTAAAATGCTTCTTCTAGAGAAGACTATGTTCCACAAATATTGACTGTTTTGTTACAGATTCTTCGCGTTTACATTCTTGACCTTTGTGGCCTATTGTCTTTTGTCTGTCATTCGTAAACAAAAGCTTAAACAATGTAACTACTCCGTCGACCAATCAGCACTTCTGACCGGATTCTGCGTCATCAGTATGGAATTTCTGTCGCTGAGTCGCAGACGTTCCTACGCACGAAACGTCCCCAGCGGCGAAGAGCGAGGAGAAACGGATGTTTTCGCAGGCTATGCCGGAACAAGTGGCTGATCCTTAGAAGTTTCAGGAGGATCGGGTAAAGGGCTTCCTTCTGCGTACTTTGTTTCTTTAGGGTTTGGATTGAGCTGCCGTCTGTTTCTTCTAACCGTTGCGTTATAGTCAGTGTCGAGGTAATAGGAACGTGGCTCTGGTGTTTTGGCTACTACCACCACGTTCTCTTTGCGATCAGGGAAATAAACACGATCGCCTGGTGACAGATGACGTAGCTCGCATCTTTAACTGCATGTCGTTGGTTGTAATCTTTTGTTTGCTCAGTCTTAATCTTGGCTTCCTTTTCACGCAATTTCGTTAACACAGGCCATGCGGCGGTGTTAGTTTAGATGGAGTAGATGGAAGGGTGGTACGTAGTCTCCTTCCCATGCATAGTTCGGCTGGGCTGAATCCGTTTTCAAGTGGGGTAGCTCTGTAAGCGAGTAGCGCTTCATATGGATCGTCGGATTTTGTAAGAAGGNGACTGCGGACCGTGTGACTATAAATCTGGGAACTTGAATAAGACGAGTTTTCCGAGTTATTCGATGATCTTTGGCTTGTGTTAAAGGTCAGAAGATTATGCGTGTTTGTGGATAGTCTTACCAGGGCCGCGAACTCACAGTGTGTGATTGAGATTTCCGCATAGTGTTGAGAGGTATGTGGTCGCGTGGTTGAGCTGTTTCGCTAAAATATTCTGTGCCAGCCATTAAAACGTTTCTTTTAATTTAGGTTAGCTGATTGTACCCTGGTAAAGCAACTCTCTACTCAGGAAAATTGGATCTAGGTCTAATTTCAAATTTTCTTTCAGTCCTAATCAAAACCTAATAACTTGGCCGGGTTGACTTTTCTTCCGGAACGAGTAGTAGTTCCAGGAACGGGAACTGGAATGGAAGACTTTTGAGCAGACCGTAAAGCATCTTTCTTCTCTGCCGGAACTAGCTTGCGAAAACATCCGTTTCTCCTCGCTCTTCGCCGCTGGGGACGTTTCGCGGGGAGGAACGTCTGCGACTCAGCGACAGAAATTCCATACTGATGACGCAAATCAATGGTTACATAATAAATCCGATAGTCATTGAGTTTCCAAATATAAATTTGTCTATTTTTACGTGTCTTCTGATCGATTTTGGTAAAGTGTTGTGCTCGTCTGCCAACGAGCTCCAACAAAACTAAAATGCTTCTTCTAGAGAAGACTATGTTCCACAAATATTGACTGTTTTGTTACAGATTCTTCGCGTTTACATTCTTGACCTTTGTGGCCTATTGTCTTTTGTCTGTCATTCGTAAACAAAAGCTTAAACAATGTAACTACTCCGTCGACCAATCAGCACTTCTGACCGGATTCTGCGTCATCAGTATGGAATTTCTGTCGCTGAGTCGCAGACGTTCCTACGCACGAAACGTCCCCAGCGGCGAAGAGCGAGGAGAAACGGATGTTTTCGCAGGCTATGCCGGAACAAGTGGCTGATCCTTAGAAGTTTCAGGAGGATCGGGTAAAGGGCTTCCTTCTGCGTACTTTGTTTCTTTAGGGTTTGGATTGAGCTGCCGTCTGTTTCTTCTAACCGTTGCGTTATAGTCAGTGTCGAGGTAATAGGAACGTGGCTCTGGTGTTTTGGCTACTACCACCACGTTCTCTTTGCGATCAGGGAAATAAACACGATCGCCTGGTGACAGATGACGTAGCTCGCATCTTTAACTGCATGTCGTTGGTTGTAATCTTTTGTTTGCTCAGTCTTAATCTTGGCTTCCTTTTCACGCAATTTCGTTAACACAGGCCATGCGGCGGTGTTAGTTTAGATGGAGTAGATGGAAGGGTGGTACGTAGTCTCCTTCCCATGCATAGTTCGGCTGGGCTGAATCCGTTTTCAAGTGGGGTAGCTCTGTAAGCGAGTAGCGCTTCATATGGATCGTCGGATTTTGTAAGAAGGTTTTTAGTTGTTTGCACCATACGTTCGGCTTCTCCGTTACTTTGGGGGTATTTTGGACTGTTTGTAATGTGTGTGAATCCCCAGTCTTCTGCAAATTTGGCGAATTCCGCTGAGGAATACTGTGGTCCGTTATCGGAGATTACGGTTTCTGGAATTCCATGGCGCGCGAAAATCGCTTTTAGGTGATTGATCACTTCTTGGGAGGTGGATTTTCGAAGTACTCCAATTTCACAATATCGCGAGAAGTAATCTACAAAGAGAAAGAATTCTTGTGCTTCCCTTTCGAATAGACAAGCGACGCATTTCTCAACCAAAAACCTTATGAAAAAAAAAAACAGTCAGTGATAACAGAAGAATAATGATAACAGCTGTATTTAATTTTGTACATCTAGTGGAAAAAGACGGGTAAAAACATCACAAGATGACGCAAAACTCTGTCAGCTTCAGCTATCAGTAAAATTTTTTCTCATAACCTCACCATTCAAATTTTGACCAATCAGAGAAAAAAAAATTAGACGTAGAGCGTGCAATGCGTGACCATGGTGAGAAAAATAAAAAAAAACTGCCTCCCCTGTCTGTAATAGCTGGCTGAATTTTCGCTTCTAATCAAAATTTCAAATCAAAATTTTAATAGTGCGGCTCATAAAGACAACTTAGTTTCTACGCATTTAAAACAATTAACTTGAGCCTGCGATTATTTGAAAACTAGTAACTTTTCAGCGGATAACTTCAAAAAACACTCGACCTTAATGGGTCGATACCTGAGCCCGCGATACGGTCAGGATACTGATCAGCGTATACTCTGTTTTGACAGCTGTCAATTGATCACAACATGGATGAGCAATATCAGGTTGCACCTGGCCTCCTGAACTAGCCAGAAAAAGTGAGATTAAACGTACACGCAAATTCATACCCAGTCTATACCCCCACCGTGGTACAAGGGGGGTGGGGGTTGATGGAACCCTTCCCCAGAGTTTTTGATATGTTGCACTGAGTATTTCGAAACGAATTTGCCTTCGGTGAAAAGCCTTTCATTTTCTCAACAAGATAAGGTATATGTTATGAGTAGTGGCGCTGCTGGAGGCCTTCGACGTCACCAACAATGATCGCCATCTTGGAAGCCATCTTAGCGTTATCCACCTTTTAAACAACTGAAGCCTGGTGTCGTATTTTCAGTAGCAGATCTAGATCGAGCAAAATTTGGCTATTATCCATTTAGAATTTTTTTGGTTTATTGTTGTGATAGTGATATCGATTTTAATTAAGCCTACATTTTGGCAAACTTCAAATTATAGTCAATCACTGGTAAAAAAAATTAACATAGATCGGACAAGGATAAAAAAAAGCGTTTGAAAAATATCGGTACAGCCTCGAAAAAACTGTATCGAAAGGCCTTAAAACACGCATTACGGCAGGAAATTAGTCACCGAGAAAAAGTTGCAAACAAAAAGACGACCTTAAGGCATTTCAGTCTCCTATTGTAATACGGATGGATGACAACGCTTTCAAGCTACCCTTCATACACCTTATTTGGTTTGTTAGGGTAGCACAGCGTTTATTGCAAAACTAGTGCACTTGCCCTACAAGCTTGCCCTCGACAATGGATGTTAAACACTTTGAGGACGATTGGTTTAGATGTACTAAAACTATAGATGTTTATAGACACTCCTTTAGTAATTTTTTGAAGGCAGCTGCTAACAAGCTGTAAGCTACCAATTTCTATGCTATGAGGATAGGCTGAAACGTTTATTCACCCTAAAAGACCTTCTATAGACTGTTATCGGATTTAAAAGTGAAAACACTGTTCTAAAGGTGCCAATATAAGATTTCGATTTAACCAGTTTTGAAAACCGATTTATGTTAATACTACAAATATCCCATGCTGTCAATGCAGACATCCCAATGATTGCTTTGTTCACAGAGACTTAAATGTGGTGCTTAATAATTCAGACGAGAAAGGATGTTAATTGTTAGTGTAAAAATTGTATTTATTTCATGAGAGGTATGATTATCATATGTTTATTAGCTTATAAAATAGCTGTTGGGGCATCCATTAGTGAACATTAACACATATAAATGGAATTCTGCAGAATCTCACAGAACTCGTCCATTCCGGCTTAATGAAAATCACCTGCTATTGATAGTTTCTTGTTGGACACATTCGTACTTTTACATCTGCAACGATTCGACAAACGGGAAAGAAGGAACCTACACGTTAAGGAGGAAGATAGTTTTCTCAGCAATCTTTCAGGTATTTAATCTATAATTTACCTTTCTAACTGCTTTTTTTTTTCAAAGTGGCTGGTTCAAAATTTAAAGGTCCGGACAACAGTATGAATGTCTTCGACAACAGCATAACTCTTTTATCAAAGGAAGACTCTGTTAATTTGTCAAACATGTTCGGACGGTTCATCCATCATCATCAGTGTATACGAAAATCCTCGTTAAATTCAATCGCTTGCCGGCGAGTCAAATGAATAGGACACATTACGTTTGACATTATTGAGAAAAGAAACGGATCAAATATGTGATATAAAGGGCGTTAAGTTAAATGTAAGAGTAACAGCAACAAGACATCATTTTAGAGTCAAAACTCGAGAAATACGTAGTAGGTATAGTATGTTCCAATCCAAAATCTCCTACATAGCAAGCCTATTGTTATCTGACTTCCTATTAAAATCAAGAATCTTCGCAAAGATGCTGTTCCAGAGAAACTTTCTTACCCGCCTATTAATAGTCGTGTTTACGTTGAAAAGCTTTTTTTTTTTATGAAACCTTGCGTGAGCAGTTACCTTCGGACACATCAATGTAGTTTTTAGCATCAGTTCATCAGATTGTTTCAAGATCCTTAACTTGACGCTGTACATAAGTACCTTACAGAACTACTTTTTATTTTATATAGCAGAATACTTTTGGGTCCTACAGCAAAGTTTATATTTCTCCAGATGAACTTCACATGTAACAACTCCTGGTCTGCCGGCAACAACTCCTTGCCGTACGTGAATGATAGCTCATCAAGCAGTAACTCGCGGTGTCTGGATTCATTACAGTCAATAGCACTTCAGGCAAATCCTTACGCCGCTTTCTTCCTGGTAGCGTTTGGTTCATCCATCTTCATCGCAATTGTTTCTTTCATTACCGTGGTGGCCAACGGTTGTCTCCTCTTTGCTTTCTTCGTAGACCCACTAAAGATTTTTCGCAGTCCAACTACATATTTTCTCATTGGTTTAACAATAGCTGACTTGCTGAGCGCCTTGGTTCAGGAACCGATATACGCTGCCTGTTTTATGCTCCTGTACTTTCAGAGTCCTTCGGCAAAGAAATGTTCACCCTTTATGGCTTTTGGAAAACAGTTCGTATCAACTACCATGACGGTTTCCTTTATCATCGTTTTTGCCTTTACCCTGACGCAGTATATCGTGGTTGCATCTCCATTAAAGTATGCTCGATTGGTGACCAAGAAAAAGGTTTTGATCGGCCTTGCCACCATTTACGTCTACTCTTCAGTTTTGTGGTGCCTCCCCTTGATGGGCTTGTCTTTGCACTACGTTGAAATGTTTGATTTAATTGTCCATAACTATGTTTTAGTTGTCAGTACCGTTGTTCTCTACATCCTTTTACACCGCCTGATGAAGAAAAAGATGGCAGCGGGAAACTCTCTTCAAGGGCAAGCTACTTCAATGGAAGACAGTAGACACACCCAATTGCAGCGCAACTTCGTGCGCGTAAATTTTATGCTCCTTGCCGTGCTGACCATATGTGCTATGCCTCCAGCTATCATGTGGACAATAGTAATTTCCATAGAAAAGACACTTAATCCCTCGGTGAATTTGCTGATTGGCCAGCTTATGTCTGATAACCTGTTTTATCTAAAGTCCCTTCTTAACCCATTTATTTACGCTTGGCGTTTGAAGAAGTATCGGGAGGCTTTTTACAAGAGTTTCTATCGCAAGAAAACTGGGAAATACTCGGGAGAAACAAAAAGTGCTACTGGGACAAGAAGCAGAGGTGAACTAGTAGAAGTGTCAAGTTTCACGTCAAATGCTGTAAGCTTTCTATCCAGCCAATCAGTGATTACTTTGCTGAGCTTCAAAGAACTGGAAAAGTGGTCAGTTTCTTTTTTATTTCTGGCTATGTGTAAGTTTTTGTGTAAATAACTGAATAACTCTTACTAAAACATTTATCAAACAACTGCCATACATATAACGTTTTACCCTCATATGACGAGAGTGGACAATGCAGTTGACTACCAGTAGAAGATCCTCGTAATTAACCAAACTGCTAAACGAGGTATTTAACTATCTCTTGATCACTTGTAAATACAGATATGTAGTGTTAGCAGAAGCAAAGTCTGAAGGTGGGAGAGCGGTCGCTCGCCTTTTTACTCGCGGAAACTTGCCATATTCTGGCGATCACGCGCAGGTAAAACGGGGACCACAAGGTCAGCAAAAATAAAATAGAATAAAGCCTAATCAAATCTAATAAAGAAGTGAGCGAAAGTTCCAAGCAAAATGAATTTCGAATGGATGTAACATATAGTAGTGTAAGGTAACTTTTATGACGTAATGCAGAACAGAGAATCGAATGCATTGTTTTCGAGCGAACACGTGATTCAGAACAAAGAATTCACGAGCCGGGTGAGTGTTTGTGAGTTCCTCCTGGCGGTGCTGATCATGTGTGCTATGTGGACAACAGGTATTTCCAAAGCAAGGACACTTGCTCCTTCAGTGAGTTTACTGATTGGACAGCTTATGTCTGGTAACCTGCTATACTTGAAATCCCTTCTAAACGCAATCGTATATGCAAGGCGTTTGACGAAGTACCGCCAGGCTTTTTACAAGAGTTTTCGTCGTAAGAAAAACGGAAAATATTCAAAAGAAAGAACGAGGGATGGTCACGCAACAAGACGAAAATATGAAGTGGCAGAGTTGTCAAGTTTCACCTCAACTGCTGTTTCTAAGCGTTCTAAGAATACTGAGTTAAAAATTCCTATTCAGACCGGGCTTTTTTTGCTTCCTGCTACCCGGTGGTGGAGGGCGGGGGTTGAAGGGGGGTTTGGGGGGTTGATAAACATGCCTGTTAAAAAAAACCGTTGTAAATTGTTCCCACATTATAAGAAAAAGAGGTAAGTTTGGC